TTCATGGAGGAGCGAGACAATCATGAGCTAAATACAGATACATATGTATTATTGACTTTCTCAAAGAAACATTCATATCTTTCACCATGAAAGACAAATTCTAACATATTATATATGTAAATCGCTTATCTAGATGAGAGAGAGAGAGTCAACCAATTGTCATGTTTCCAAAATCTCATCAGTAATACCCAGTTTTGACTGAAATCCAAAAATAACTAGCTTTGAGTTTATAATTTAGTAATAAAGTTAATGTCCGTTTAGATTACAAAATAACAATTTTTATTCAATTAGAACTGATTTGTTTTCTTTATTAGAGGAAGTCTTTTAGGTAGTTTTAAATTATTTCTTCCTTTTAGGAATTATGTTCTTATTAGAAGGGGATTTTGTTTTTCTATTTAAGAAGAAAGATTGTCAACCTCGTGGTATTAGATAATTTTTTATCAATAAAATTTCCTCTTTATTATATTCCTTTCGTGGATTCAAAATTCTTTTTGGATTTAAAGATCGTGTTTTATAGATTCAAAGAATAATCATTGGCGGATTCCGAGGTTTATTACTTCCACGCTGTGTTAATCTGACTATTTTTGGATTTTAGCCAAAACTAAGTATTGCTGATAAGATTTTGGAAATTTGACAATCAAGTTGAACCTGTCTCATTGAGATAGATGATTTACATATATAATTTGTCAGAAATCTGCCTTTCAGGTTGGAAAATATAATTGTTTCTTCACAGAAGCTAATAATATGTATGTATCCATATTTAGCTCGTAATTGTTCATACTCCTCCATGAAATTCCTTATCAAGCATCTTACATCAGTGTCTCCCCTTGTTGAAAGAAGCTCAACCTCAAGCTTATATTTACTCTAATAGTAGCTTCCTTGATAAATATTTTCTTCTTCTGCATCGATCAACATCTATTAGCTAGGTTGTCTTCTAAATCTTTTTTGTGTATACAAATTTTTCATATCAAGTGTATTTTATTGGCAGCATGTGGATGTGCAGTTGACTTTAAAAACTCCTCAAAATATGCTCCATGTTGCTTCTCATATTCTAGTGTTGGAAGTATCATCTTAATATTCTTTAAATTATTCTCAATTTTTTCTTCGAACGAAGAAAATTCCCCCTCATATTCTATACATAATTCTTTCATTTCCTTTGCCTCGAGTCCTCCACCAAGTAATTCACACATATCATCAATTGAATCGCTCACTATTATATCCTTCTTCTCCATCGAGACAATATCAATATGTGTAATATAATTGACAATATCTTTGAGAATGTTATAACATGCATAATATCCGACTTCATTAACATAACATCATCAACATCAGGAATCCCATGCACAATGAGGGTTTGCGCTTCAGGATGAATCTTGATGGTGGTAGAATCTTCCTTTTTGGTTGTGTTTTGTTTTCTGCCACTAGAAAACCTTCTCCTTAGCAATCTCTGGCTTAGATGCCTCTGGTTCTATAATCGATATAATTGATACAGTCTTCTTTTTTGCTTCTTTGATGCTCTTCACAAACCTAAACTCTTTCTCAGAGATGAATTGAGTTTTCTTAGTTTTGTCATAATCATAACTAGTGTGAGAACTCTCCAAAAATAACCACGAGAATGTCTTTTGTCGTCCTACTCAAGTTCTCGCTCCACTCTCTTCGTTAGATGGATCGTATTAGCTAAGATAAAAGAATCTTGCAAAGACACCTAATATTATTTATAGTTAGACGATAGGAAACGGTCTCACAAACCTACATCTTTGAGATGCTACATATTTTAAGGAAAATTTTCCATATAAAATTAAAATCTCTAAACAAATAATAGACATATCTACTAATATAGAACCTTTAGAAAATTTAGAACCAAGAAGAAGTAAAAGAATTAGAACTGAAAAGAATCTTGGAGAATAATTTTTTATGTATTCAGTAGAAGCTGATCCTACTTATTATAAAGAGGTTATGACTTCTATTGAAGCACCTTTTTGGAACAAGGCCATAGATAGTGAAATAAAATCAATTATTGAAAATCAAACTTTGATATTAACTAGCTTACCTCCTTGGAACAAACCTATAGGATGCAAGTGGTTATTTAAAAAAAACTCAGATCTGATGGTAGTACTGTAGAAAAATACAAAGCTAAATTAGTGGCAAAGGATATTCCCAAAGAAAAGGAATAGAGTTCTTTGACACATATGACCCTGTAAGTACAATAACTACCATAAGAACCTTGCTAGAGTTAGCATCTATTCATAATTTAATAATTCACCAAATGGATATAAAGACATCCTTTTTAAATAGTTAACTAGAAGAAGAAATTTATATGGATCAACCTGATGGTTCTATAATTAAGGGACAAGAAAATAAAGTGTGCAAATTAATTAAATCATATATGGTCTTAAACAAGCTCCTAAATAATGGCATGATAAATTTGGTAGAGCAATTTTAGACTTTGGTTTCTCTATTAATGAATCTGATAAGTGTGTTTACTGTAAGACTCTAGATCATGATCATGTGATTTTATGTTTATATGTTGATGATATCTTGATTTTTGGAACTTCTCTATAAGTAATAAATGATGTCAAAAATTACCTATCAAACAAATTTGATATGAAAGATTTAGGAGTAGCAAACATGATATTAGGAATGAAAATTTCTAGAAGTGATAAAGACATATCTTTATCTCTATAACACTCAATCGAGAAAATGCTCAGAAAATTTAACTATTATGATTGCAAACCAGTAGCTACTCCTTATGACTCTAGCATTTCTTTATATAAAAATGTGGGAGATCCTGTCTTACAACATAAATGTGCTCATCAAATAGGATTACTAATGTATATAACAAATAGAAGTAGACCTGACATTGCATATGCAGTAAATAGACTGAGTGGATATACTAGCAATCCAAGCATTAAACATTGACATTCTCTAGAAATAGTATTTACATATCTTAGAGGATTCTTAGACTTATGTTTATTATACATTAATTTTCCTGATGTAATAGAAGGTTATAGCGATGCAAATTGGGTAACTGACTCTCAAGATGTTAAATCAACTTCAGGCTATGTATTCAGGCTAGGAGGAGAAATCATAGCATGAGACTCTATTAAACAAACTGTAATTGCTAGAAATATAATGGAATCTGAATTGATAGCTCCTGACATTGCATGTACTAAAGCTGAACGACTTAGATATATATGTTTTAATATTTGTCTTGTACACAAACCTATTCCTGCTATTTATGTGCATTGTAACTATAAGGCTATAATTGAATTGCTTAAACAGAAAAGTACAAATTCAAAACTAAGCAGACTTCCCAAATAATATTTAAATCAATAAATAGACTCTTAAATCAATATGTCACTTTGGACTTTGTTTAATCAGATCATAATTTGGCAGATCATTTCACAAAAGGTCTAGCTAGGACTTCAGTCCAATATTCAGCCAAAGGGATGGGGGCTAAGCCCAAATATATAGTAACATCGACGGTGGGAACCTTACTTCTGTTATAGGCGATAACTGAAGGAAGTTCAAAGGGTAGAAACAAGCCAAATAGATGTATCCATTAGAGAGCACTCTTATTATACATGTGACACATGATTCACATCGGAGCCAGGCACGCCAAACCTCATCCTAAGGCAGAGTTGCTCCATAGAGATCGGTCTAGGGTGAGTCATAGAAATCTTAATGAATCCATGACTTAAAGCGGAATTCTTCCAGTCTCTTACATCCCTAGAGGATCCACCTACGTGAGAAACACTGTGCAGCGGTGGTTATGGAAGTCAGGGCTATTTCTATGTATTCTCATGAGTCGGTATTGAGCGTATGGCCAAATAACGCGCCAACCCGCGACCCAATAGAGTAAGCATTCTATGTGCACTTTTGTTAATTTCTGATAAAGGAGCCTGGTTCAAGACCTCAGGTTCACTATGGTTTCCTTAGAATGCAATAAATGTTACTAAGTGTAGGTTCAAGGACGGAAGCCGCCTATATTGATGCATAGAATTTATGCCCTCATACAAATTTTTTTAGTTTTGTTCTTTTTTAATTGTTGTTTTGCTACTTTTGATATTTGCTTTGATGGGGGATCTTTGGATAAATAACAACAAATCAAATACCAAGATGTAACAAACTAAAATAAATAAATAATTAATTATTAAAAGTTAGTTAGTTTTCTCACGTTTTCAAGAACTTGATAAATTATTAAGGTTAAAAGATCTCTTTCCGTTTCTTCATAACGAGTCCTTTTTCCCCTTATAAAAAGAGACCCTGTGATAAGATAAAAATATACACAAAAACTAAAAACTCCTCCTTTTTCTTCTTTTTCTTCCTCCATCAAATTTTTGGTACAGTTTTCTGGCTGGTTACCCAAAGGTCATCATCACCTAACGTGGTCGTGCACGCTAGGGTTCCGGTAGAGAAGAGATCGTAACGCTAAGAAATATTTCGCCTTGGCTGGTCACACGAGATCGACATATATCTTTTTAGGGCAATGGTTTGCCACGCTTTCCTCGAGGCTGGTAAAATTGTTTATTTAATTTTTCTAATAAATACCAATAATTGTGATTTCTCGTCTAACATTTACAACCTACTTCAAGCTGCCGGAATGTAATTAAGCCTAGTTAAATATCCATTGCTCAATTTTTAATAATAACATATGTATAAATTCTAAAAACAAAGATTCTCTACTTTATCTTCGAATATTCGACATCTCAAACACGCACTCGTAAAAGCTTCCTTACATCTCTAAAATTACTCTTCATAAATCTCTCAAATCCTAATAACAAACAAGGGTCAAGCTCGAATATCCTCCGATCTCGTGTTTCCCTCAGAGGCCCTAACCGAGGTGAGGGGCATTTTGGTCATTAAGGGGCTGATTTACCGGGCTCTGGAGTTTTGAGGGACTATAGATCAATTCTGAAAATTTAACGGATGCCATGCAAATATTGCAAATAGAAGGGACTAATATATAAAAAGACCCATTGTCTATAGAGATCGATTTTGGGTTTGCTAGGGTTATTGGAGGATGTCGACGGCGAGGGCGACGGACGAAGTGCCTGAATCTCCGGCGAAGAAGGCAAAGATGACGTCAGAGGAGATGACGGGCGAGGGCGACGGACGAAGTGCCTGAATCTCCGGCGAAGAAGGCAAAGATGACGTCAGAGGAGATGACGGCGATGTCGGTGACGGCAAAGGAGAAGGGACGTGTCTACGTCGACGAGCAAGATCTCGCCGACGACGAGTTCTACAACGATGGTCTCCATACGATGACCGCGGAAGAGACGGAACGCTACAGCGAAGCTGTCATGCGCAGCGATGTAAATCCGTTAAAATATGTCAATTGTTCTAATTAAATTAAATTTCCGATTAATTTATTCTTCTTCTTCTTCTTCTTTAGGGATTTGAGGTTCCTGAGTTGCCTAATGTTTTTGCTTTCGGTCTCATCATACCCATTATGACTACTATGACCGCGGACTTCAGGGAGGAAATTCTTAATTATGCCCGCTTTGCCGTCGATCGCCAAAACGAAGAGAGAGTGAAAGAGGTGCTGCTTCTTTTTGTTCCCCCAATACGAATCTACGACGGGATCTTTAAAATAATTGTTAAAACTTGTTATTATTGTTACAGGGTGCCAGGGAACTCCATCTCGATATCACGAGAGTCGTCAACTGTAATGCAGAGGTCTCCTGCCCTGTCAACTATTACATCACTTTCGAGGCGAAAGATCTCGACACGAATGAGCTCGATCAGTATGAAGCCATGGTGGTCACCAGAGTCCGTCATGACGACGACAATGTTCCAATCTTCAGGAAAAAAAGTGCCCACACCAACTAATCCGCCAGTGCCCGCAGAGGTATAATTCCTGGTTGAGACACCTTGCTCATTTGTTTTTGATTTCTTTTTCTTTATCATAGCAACACCTTGCTCATTTTTTATCTTCCATATAGGGTTCTGGAGCAGGACCTAGCTCTGGGTTGGCACCAATTCTTGGTATCATCAATAGGCAACCTGGTAGTTGATTTTGCTAACTATTCGTTTGGGAGTCTGGTGTTAAGTTTGTTACATCTGTTTATGTCATAAAATACATCCTGTTTCACTTTCTTTTTTATTAAAAAATTACCTCCTTCATGCTTGCTCCAGTACATGTTTTATTTATTTCCTGACCAAGTGCTTCTGTGCCACTTAGTTATTGTGTTTTATTAACATGGCCATTTGTTCTTAGGTCTAACATAGATAAAATGTGTTTATAATATCTTCATTTTTATTAACTACTGCCAAAAATACCTTTCCCAGACTAGCATTTACTAAATTTTGTACTTGAAAACTTTAATTTAGATGGTAAAGAAGGAAGAACAAGTTGTTGGTTAGCAGACCCTTCTCATCGTCGTGCATCGGGACAAGCCGTAAATGCAGGCAGCTTACTAAAAAACACGAGTAGCAAATTATTCAAAAGAAGCTTTCGTGAATCAATAGTTCTATATGTTATTATTTTTAGCCTGTGATAAGTCAGCTTCAGTGGATCTATGCGACATCTGAATTTCATTCTAATAAGAAACTTATTGGAGTCAGCTTCAGTGGATCTATGCGACATCTGAATTTCATTCTAATAAGAAACTTATTGGAGCCCAATCTGAAGTGAACTCTACAGGAAATATCAATTAAAGATTTCATTCTAATAAGAAACTTATTGGAGCCCAATCTGAAGTGAACTCTACAGGAAATATCAATTAAAGCAGATCCATATCTGTAAAGACAAATCTGTTTCTTTTTGGTTATAGTCTCATGGTTTTCCGCCTTTGGTTTCATCTACAATTGATTTTATCAAAGATAGAATTAATGTTTTAAGAGCATGATTCTTTGGTTCTTTGCCTTCTAAAAAATTCTTGATCTATACTATCTTCGCAATTTTTTAAAATCTTGTAATTTTTTAAAATCTTGCAATTTACTTTGATTCGATGAATTTCATATACATGTAATCAGAAAATCTCATGCTCATAATAGGTATAAGTAGCTTACCGCTAGAAAGAAATTTGGAACCATTAAAGCTTAAAATATCCAATGATAAAGAGAGATATTTATAGTATCTCTATTGTTTGTTGCATGACTATTAATTGTTTTGAGGAGATAGAAATAAGTAGGACTAAAGAGAAAAAAAATTGATGCTACTATTTTAATAGCATTTATATTGGATGATTATGATTAAATAGGTCGTCTATTGTCATCTGTATATAGGTAGCATTGGTTGATTGAAACTCAATGTTATATAACAAATAAAATTCTTTTATAAAATTATTCATTATTTACTATTGTTAATGATGCAAACAATCTATTATCACCCGGTTGATGCATAAATGTAATTTCATTATTCAATCCTTTTGAATTTTTAAATTCTATCCATATGTTTGATACATGGTTTAAATTAAATAAATCTTAATGAAATGAATCAATAATAAAATAATAATTTTAAAAAATTACCACATGCATTGCACGTGCAATCTAACTAGTTCTCTATAAGGGTCTGACTCAAATATCCCTCAAGGGCCCCCTATTGAGATGAGGGGCATTTTGTTGTTGAGGGACCGATTCGCAAGACTCTTTGGAGTCTGAGGGACTTATGAGCAATTTTGAACATTTGACGATTGGGATGGAATTATAGCAAATAAGTGGCACTAATATGCAAAAAGGTCATTGTGACCGTGATTAGTATTTAAAGTGGGGGGGCAGATAGAGAGATCGAGTTTTTCTTATTAGAAGATGTCGACGGCGAGGGCGACGGACGAAGTGCCTGAATCTCCGGCGAAGAAGGCAAAGATGAAGACAGAGGAGGAGGAATGCGTCCACGTCGATGAGCAAGATCTCTCCGACGACGAGTTCTACAACGATGGTCTCCATATGATGACCGCGGAAGAGATGGAACGCTACGGCGAAGCTGTTATGCGCAGCGATGTAAACCCCCTTTAACCCTAACCCTAAAAATCCGTTAAAATATGTCAATTATTGTTTAATTTATTGTTTCGATTAATTTATTATTCTTCTTCGTCCTTACTAAATATTCTTCTTTAGGGTTTTGAGGTTCCTGAGTTGCCTAATGTTTTTGCTTTCGGTCTCATCATACCCTATATAAATAATCTCCCCACGAAGTGCATGGAGGAAATTCTTAAATATGCCCGCTTTGCCATCGATCGCCAAAACGAAGAGAGAGTGAAAGAGGTGCTGCTTCTTTTTATTCCCCCAATACGAATCTACGACGGGATCTTTCAAATAATTGTTAAACTTGTTATTATTGTTACAGGGTGCCAGGGAACTCCGTCTCGATATCACGAGAATCGTCAACTGTAATGTACAGGTCGCTTGCCCTATCAACTATTACATCACTTTCGAGGCGAACGATCTCGACACGAACGAGCTCGATCAGTATGAAGCCAAGGTGGTCACCAGTGTCTGTCATGACGACGACGAGGTTCCAATCTTCAGGAAAAAGGCCAAACCAACTAATCCACCAGTGCCCACAGAGGTATAATTCCTGGTTGAGACACGTCAGTTTAATTTGAACAGGAGCACACACGCATGGTTTGCTTCGTAGTTTTTGTCCTCTTTTTTTTTATGCAAGAAACTAAAGCATGGTTGTCACCGGAAATTTGGCTAGTTTTATTTAGCTTGTTGCGTATGAGGGATCTTACGATGAAAGTTAAATTGCCAATGAGACAGAGGCGGAGCAACTAATAATATGCTTACTTTCCCCTTCTTAATTACCATCTTCTTGGTCTGTGAAGGGTGTGTGGACGCACGCACATGTTCATTCTAAAAGCTTGTGCATTTTTTAGATTCACAAATAATGGCCTCTTTATGTTGCGAACTGTCCCTATTTGCTTCAATTTCTGATGCGCTTATCATATCAGCTTATATTCTCAACAATTATAATTTCGATGGTTAAATTTTCACCTTCACCTCCTCAGCACGTTCTCCCTTCGCATGGTTTGGTGGCATTAAGGGATTGCTCGTATCATTCATCGTCTTATTGGCATGATTGGAGTCTACTCATTACCAAGATTTATAAATTTGACCAATACCATTATGCATGTACCAAATTGGAGGAGGAGCCTTTCAATCCTCTATCACTCTCTACGTCTTGTTCAGTATGCAATAGTTTCGATCAAAACATGGCCTGTTTTGGCTTTTTTGGATATGTAAGTTCAAGTTGGGCATGTAGAGCAATTTATTGTGCAAAGTCAAATTGCGTATGTGAATGAATTACCATTGACAATTGCATCTAAGGATAAAATCATAAACCAAGCTAGATTTCTAGTTTAGACAAGCAATATTATATTGTTTTATTGGTTTAAATGAAATTTTTGAGTTTTCATTGTTACTTGAAGAGAACAGTTTGGCTAAGAAATTCTTATTCTATGTAGTGGTTCACCTTTGACTAGTGACATACAAGTATCTGATTATAAAAGGTGTGTTATTTGGTAGACCTTCTTTACTTGGTATGTCCTTGATTATTAAGTAGTCTCCGCTTGTTAAAAATGTGAGTGTTTTAGCAAACGAGGTCGTCACATGATTTTGCCAATTATTTTTCCTTTATGGATCTATGTGTAGTTAGTATTCTTTAATTCGATCATTGAGTTTTCTATGTAGAATAATGAGTTGTCCTGATCTTTTATCTGTCAATTGTTTGTTGAGTGCTTATCACAAGGCTAAGTATGTTAGCAAAAGCAGACCAGGTATTTGATGAGATGTATGAGCAGTTCAAACCCGATTGAAAAACATTTAAGGTCTGTTTGGGAACATGGATTTGGGTCCTGGATTTAAATCTAGGGTGGCACAAATACAAGTCTCATGTTTAGGCATTCTTTTGGGCTTGCATTTAAAATCAAATTGTTCATGTGGCTGGAATTTGAAGTTCAAAATTGTTAAATTGATTACCCTGTACCAGTGATTTGTGGAATTCCAATAGTTTTTCATCTTCATGGTCATCTCTGCTTTATCTCATTAAGGAGCCTTGGCTAGGGATGAGCAAACAATCAATTGGTTTGATTTTGTCCAAATTTTGATTAACCGATACCGAACCATTTATGATTTGAATAGATGAGAACACAATGAAAGCTCACACTCAATTGTTACAACTCTCATCAACCCAAATATGCTATGTATGAAAATACAATAAGCTCAAGTGGGTGTGTGTGTAAACAATGAGTAAATCAAAGCTAAACTCAATTATGAAAAACTAGCTTGTAGAAATAATAATCAATAAACAATTATAAATGAAAGCTAGAATTGAGTTTAGGAAAACTTCTCTAGATGACAAGAGAGAGATGAATTGAAGCTCAAACACCAAGTGATGATCTCTTCTAGCTCTTGTGAAACTTTCTTCACAAACCAAACCCTTAAACAAACTTAAAACAAACTTAAACTCTTTTTAAAATCTTTTAAAACATTCTCTTAGTAGTTCTGAAAATTCAATGCAATGGTGTATATATAGAGACCCTAAAAAACCAAAGAAAAAGACCAAAAAACCTAACAGAAAACAAGGCTGGAAACTGACCGTTATTGTGCAACGGACACTTTATGAGTCGACTTGCAAAATTCATGAGTCGACTCATAACATGGCCTTATAGGCCAAAAACCAACTTATGAGTCGACTTACAAAAACTATCAGTCGACTCATTACACATGGGTCGACTCATGAAATCATGGGTCGACTCATCAGAAGCAAAACAAACTATCCAGCACACTTTGTGAGTCGACTTATGATAGTCATGAATCGACTCAATCTGATGGGTCGACTCATGATGTTACGAGTCGACTCGTCAGAAACAAAATGTAAACTACACAACAATTTATGAGTCGACTCAACCATTTTCATGAGTCGACTCAAGACATACACACTGTCTGTTTTAAACAGAAATCTGATTTTCAAACCTTTTTTAAAAATAGCAAATAAAATCAAAAAAATATAAAACTTTGGGAAATGATTGTAAACATGATAATAAACATTCTTCAGAAACTGGTTTTTAAAAAGAACCTCCCAAATATAAAATATCATTATTTTGCAAATATGTCCAAAATATGAAAATATAAACATATGAATTTTGACATTTTGGCTAAACCATGTTTTGAAACTTTACAAAATGATTTTGTAGATTTAAAAAAAGATGTATATGATTATTATTAAGTTCAAAAACTGAGAATACAATATTTTCACAAAATTGCATATTTTGTAAACTTTTCAAAAACAATAAATATGATTTCATTGAACTAAATATTGATGAAATCATATATATGCATATAAGTATAAAATAAGAAGTGTATTTTCAATTATATTCAATTGTTTTATATTAAAACTTGAAAACTATCAAACCAAAACATATATGTATATATATAACTATATATATACATAGAAACCAAAATAATGTGTGTATAATATTGAGCTTAAAGCACTAATACACATAATATAAAAACCTAAACTATTTTACCCAAGCAATCTTGATCTTCAATTAGCTTGACTTGGTACACTTGCGGATGAAGCTTGAACTTAGATCTTCAACTTGAATTGTAAGGCTTCACTCCACAATTCCGTCAACCTCCATTGGATATGATCGTGAATGCGCAATTCTATCCATCCTCTAACATATTATTTGTCTAGAATAAATACAAAAACACAAGACACAATATTAGTTATAAATTGTTTGTTAAACATCATCAAAACAAAGAGGCCTACACATCTAACAACTTCGGGATAAGATTCATATCTGCAGACGAAATAACTTTAACAGTTGGTCCTGCAGCCCAAAATTTGGGATCATCACTCTCCAATGCCTTAAGAGCTTAAACTGTGTAGACTCTAGCAAACGTACGAGTATAAACCGTGTTAACGCCTGTTGACGCGTTACAACAAAGGTCAACGCCAGACAACGCGTTATATTAAAGGTTGATGCCGGTCAACGCATCGATAATTTTGTCAAAATAAGGCTAAATTCCGGATTAAAGGATGATTCCAGGGAGTTCAATTGTGATCCAGATATGAATTCCCGATGAAGATGATCAATTCAGCGTCAACTCAACGACACGAGCTAAATCTAGAAATTTACTCAACTTCGATTCGAGACTTCGACAACGGTCAGACGATAAACGTAGTATCAGCAGAACTTCATCTGCTCGACAAAATACTGAGTAGACTGAAAGCTAAAGAAGTCAAGAATTAAAATCATTCACAGGTCCTACGCGATCTTCCCGACAAAATACTAAAGAGGCAAGGTTTTAAATATCGCCTGACATGTCCGACATGTCGGCCGACATATTGGTTTGAGGGTTTGACCGACACGACATGGACGTTTTCAACTCGTATGTCAGTTTTTAGGGCCAAATCGGAAATATCAGGGTCATATCGGGCATATCAACCTATTTTTTAGCTTTGAAAAATCGGCCGATATGGTATTTTTTTTAAGATCTGTTTTTTGTTATCGAGTTTGGGTTTAGTGATAAATACCCAAACTCGTTTGACCCGTTCTCTTGTTTAAGAGTTTCTTATGAACCCGATAGAAAGAATTTATGAACCCAAATCCATATATTATTTACTTTTTTATATGTTTAGTCTATAGAATTTATGAAGTATGCTTATATTGAATTTATGAATGCTTAGATTACATTTAGGACATGATATTGTACATATGCGCACTACCCGATATGGTAATCCGATATTTAGTCAATGTCCCCCGATATATCCCCGATTTCCGCTATCCGACATGGATTTCAGCCATCCGACATGAACCTGACATCCGATATTTAAAACCTTGTAAAGAGGTTGAAGACAGCCTATCTTATCCAAAATATTTCAGACTCCTGTATGAAAGAATGAGCCTAAAATACTTTGGATGAGATATTTGTAGGCGTCTAAAAAATACCTATAGGTGTTCGTACACAGCTCGAGACGGAGAGAAGATGACGAATATCGTTATCCGAGTCTAAAAAGATTATCTGACGCCGACAAGTGCATGAACCGGAATGGCGAACCAACTATGTCTTGTGCGCTCACTGGCCACCTTCAATTGGTCATCACACGTTAATTAGCTCGCTTAGAGTGTACAAGTAAACACGACAGGCAAATAAGCGAAACGGTAGAAAGTACAAGTCCTGGAAAGTAAACGTGCCAAAAAAGGAGTTCAGCTGAGGCGGCGGACTCGCGCCGGCGCGAGACGACGCTGGCCGACCCGTGCCAGCGCGGGACGGAGATGGCCAACCCACGCTAGCGTGGGTTAGCGCTGGCTGACCCTCGCTAGCGCGGGTCGGAGCGGGCCGACCCGCTCTAACGCAGGTCAGACTCGGCTAACCCCGCATGTCAGACTCGACTGACCCGCACCCTTGCGGGTCAACACGACCTGTTTCGCGCCCAGAAGTTCTGAAAATGCGTTTTTTTAGTTTTTTGTTGTTTTCTCGGGATTTGTTCGTTCCACAGCATCTCAACTGTCTAGATATCATCCATAAACATGGTTAGGTCGTTATCAACTGAAGATA